GGGGGGGTGACTGATGCCGCCTTCTTTGGAGCTGTTCTGTCAACCTGGGGTCTGGGATAGTCATGGGGGGGGGGTGCACACATTGGGGCCGTGTCACCGTTTTTATGACCAGCCCCTTTTCAGACTCCCCTCCGCAGGAGGCAACTTTCTCAACTGCGTAACAAAATTCACTTTACAGTCTCGGAAGCCACGCTTGTCATCCTGTCTGCAAAACTCCATCTGCAAATAAAGTTGACTTTTCTCCTTTTCCCTGTTTTGTGTAACATCCCCCGTCCCTCCCCCCACCCGACCCCCGTGCCGCATTTGGAACAAGGCTTTGCGGAGGGGGCGGCGGGGCGGTGGGTTTGGGAGAGCTGGGCTTTGCATATTTTCAAGTTGAGGCGTTTGGTCCTGAGCCCGGGACGAGCCCACCCTGCGCGGTGCCCAGGAGGCTGCCTCGCCGGGTGCCGCGGACGCTGGACGGTCGTGTCCTGCTGCTCGGAGGAAGGCGGAAGGGTCGTCCGGGTTCCGCGGGGCTCGGGGTCGTTTTCACGCGGGGCTTCCTCGATCTGGGGGAGGGGGGCCCTGCCAGGGAGGCGGGGTAGGAGGAGCAGCGGCCGGAGCTGAAGGAGCCCACCCCGCTTTGCGTCTCCTCCCTCCCCCCATCTGTCCCTCATCTGTCCCTCCATCGCCCTCCACCCTCCCTCCGTCCCCCCTCCACGTCCCTCCCTCCTCCGCTCCCTCTGGGTTTTTTCTCTCCTCTGCACCCTCGGTGCTCCGGGCAGCACCGCGCCCGCGTCTCCCGCGCAGACCGCGGCCGCTCAGCCCCGCGCGCGCAGCTCCGAGCTCGGGGACTTGGGAGTCGCAGCCTCTCTCGGACTTCAAAAGCGAAAGGCGAAGAAGCCCTGGCCACTTGACAAACAGGTCTTTGTCACTGCGGCCCTCTAATCAAAGCGGAGGCGCGCGGATATCACACGGAATTACAAATAGCGCCTCATGCATTATGCACGCTGCCGTCTGCGCGCGAGAAAGCGCGGGTTCGGCGCCTGGCGGGCCAGGAGTTGACGGTGTGTGCCTGGGCCGAGCCTCGTACCCCTGGCTTCTGCCTCCGCCTCCACGGGACGCCTCTTCTTCCCCAGCTGAGGCTGGCCACCCAGGCCTGCGAGTGAACGTCTCCGGGCAGGACATAGCAGCGGAGTGACAGACCAGAGGAGAGAGGGTGGGGAAGGGAGGGGGGTGGCTCTGGGCCAGAGTAACTTTCTGGGGTCCTCAGAGACAGATGAAATTTTCCTGTCCTCACCTCACTCCCATATGTCCACCCCTTCAGCCTCAGGTGTGGAGGCCAGTGTCCCCAGGGACCTAGCACTGAACCCTCCAAAGTACTGCCCACCCCCATTTCCTGCAACCCCCTGGCCCCCGCCTCTGTAACCCCAGGGACCAGGCCTTCCCTGGGGGCTGTAGTTCCCAACCCAGACTCCCAACCAAGGCTGTCCCCACCTCAGACCCCACCCCATGCAAGAGGGATCGGGGCTCAGACCAGGGGCCGGCTGCCTCCAGGATTCCCCAAGTGACACCAGATGTGACTCTGGACATTCAAGACCCTTAAGCCTGGGAGAGAATTCAAGGCCCCCCGTCCACTGCAGCCCCCATTTTAATTCCCAGCGTTGACAAATGGTTTTGGAATAATCCATCCTAAAAGGAAAGGCCCGCACCGGCTCCCTTCCCCAGTGTGGGAGGCCTCGTTTTTTCTAAGACCAGGCAAGCGAGATGACCCGCTCCAAAAATGAAACTTTGTCTGGGCCATGAGCAAAGCGGAGGTCTACCTGTCTACCTTTTGGGGACCCAGGAGTGTGAGCGCCCCTGAACCCACTCCCCATCCCTGGCCGGGAGCACACAGGCTCCTTCGCTTAGTCCCCTCAAAGACAGAGACACGAAACGCCTAGTATTAACATTATTCTTTACACTGCAGCCTAAGCAAAGACTTTCTCCACCACACGCTTTTGCTAATGCGCAAGGCTGCCCCAGGCCTCGGGGCGGGCTCACTGTGAAAAGTGACATTTATGTTGCGCTGGGGGACAGCAGGCGGGAGGCAGGGCGCAGACCCCTCCCCCCGAAGCTGGCCCTGCAAAGTAGGACCAGGAGCGGCGGCAGCGGGTTAAAATCGCCTCTCCTCCGTAGAGAACGGGGGTGCTCCAACGTCTCCGCGGCACTTCGCCAGCTCTGCCAGAGCAGACGGGGTTCGGGACGTCTGTGGATAGAAACGAAAGTGTATTCGCTTCGTGGAAACACCAGCAACAAACAGAAAGAAGCGGGTGCGGGGATGGCGGAGCAAATTAAGCAGGGGCTGGGGGGTTCTGGTTTCTGGAAGGAAAAAAAGTTTCCAACGTTGGCTTCACCAAAAACTTTGCGCGCTCCCTGGAGCCCGCGCTGGTCATGGGTTGGCGGCTGTGCGTCCCTCCGCGCCGCGCTGCCCAAGCCCCGGGTGCCCGGCTGCTCCTGCCCTCGCGGTCCCGTTGGCCTTCCGGCCGGGAGGAGATGCGGAGGCCGAATGCAGCACAAAACCATTAAAATGCCAGGAGACCTTGTCCTGGGGACGGAGAAAGGGTCCCGGGTGCGCAGGAAGCTGGGTCCTCTGTGCTGGCTCAGAGAGTCTTCCCTGAAGCCCTGACCCCGCTCCGCAGGCCACTCAGCGGGAGGCCAGGCTCCCTTCGTATGTGGCGGGGCTGCACCCCCCACCCGAGTTCACCCAGCTACAGTCCCCCCGGCCAGGCCCGGCGGGCTCCCCGCCTGCGTCTGGGGACTCACGCAGGGCCAGAGAGCTGGTCCACAGGGGCTGGGGACGGCTGAAAGCGGCCCCGCCTGCCCCGGGGACTGGAGCAGAGGGAGCAGGCAGGGCCCTGCGCTGGCGGAAAGGTCTTTCTCCTCTTCCTGCATTATGCACGCGGGCCAGACTTCCGTTTGGAGACCTGTGTCTGAAAGGCACACTGGATAACCGTGCGTGTCCAGACTCTGGTCCAGCTGGCTCCCCAGGAAACTCGGTACAGAAGCCAGAGACACAGCAGACCCGGTAACCACGTCAGCGGTCCCTTGTCCCAACGGAGGACATGCCAGGCCGGAGGCAATGGGCAGGCTCCAGGGGCCGACTCAGGATGGCAGCAGGAAACCTACGTTGGCGATTTTCGATTTTATGAAATAATCTGATTCCTGTATGTGAATTAGGTACATGTTAATGAATGGCACGTGGGCTAACTGCTCTCTCTCTCTGTCTCATTTACAGCGCCCAGGGAGAGGGGGCAATGAATATTCAAATGTTTAATATTTGCTTTATTTAGTTCCTGACAGGTATGGCTGGGGTTTTCACATTCAGCCCAGTAACACCGAGCAGCCCTTGTCGTGCACGCGCTCAGTTTGAATCGGATCGCATGCCCCGGCTCCTAATGCAGGCCACCGCTTGCAGCCTCTGAGGCCTGCAGCCCTGGGGAGGGCAGGGGTCACCGGGCCAGTCAACGTCCCCACAACCGTCAGCTCAGACCCTCCCAGGCCCAGCGCACCAGGGTCACCCTCGGTCCTCCAGAAACGGAAGAAGCAAATTTCAAGGAATGCCCCTCCATCTGGCACAGTCCCTCCGCCCCTGATCCCAAAGACACTTTCCATTAACAAGGACCGGGGCGTGTGAATGGTTTTCGATGACTAGCGGGCCTTTTCAACAACAATCCAGCCCTCCCCGCCCATTAAATATTTATCAGGATCGATCAGACGGTCAGGATTTTACAGACGTCTTAACACATTTCCTGGAGGGGTTCCCCTTACGGTCCTCCCCCTTTTAAATTTAGACGCCTGCCATGGGGTCTCCCTCCCTGCCCTGTTTATTGATTGACACAAACATCCGCGTTTCAACTGTGAGGCTAATAGATTTTCATTACGCTGTGCTCTGTTAATGCAGCTCTCGCCTGCCGAGGACTGATCCGTGGACAACGGGGACATCTATGATATTAATAAAGGCCGCGATGGCCGGCCCTCCGCGGCTGTCCAGGGGGGTGGCCCGCCCCTGGG